TCCAGTAAGGCTTTGTGCGTTTGTTTCTCAGTCCAAGTGCCGTGTGTCCGTACCGCGTCACGGGGCGTATCCGCAGCGCTCTGCCTGGCAGGGCGCAGCTTAAAAATCCCCATCTTGAGAAGGAATTAAAAAAGGAAAAAAAAAAAAAACAACCCAAAAACCTAAAGAATTGGGGGCTGGCAAAGCGCCAGGATTTAGGCCATCCGGTCGTGGTTGTTCGATATTCGTTAGGGTCGCTTACAGTATTAACACTAAATTGCAGTTTACAGTGTTTCTACATTACAGCCATATGACATCAAGCCTTTGATTGTCTCTTGTTGTTGTTGTTGTTGGTTTTTTTCCTTCTGCTAGTTCTTTTGCTTTCGGACACAGTTTGTCTTTATGACCTGCAGAGTGTGGTGGTTCTGCAAGGCCAGAAGACCGCCCGCCCGAGGAACATCAAAGCTGCTCTAGTTTTTGGTCAACAGCTTAACAGGTGCTTGGCTCGCGGCTGTTCCAACTATTTTCAGTCCACAGCAAAGGGGTTAAGAACTTAATTAGACAAGGGGGAAGTGTTTAAACTTAAAATGCCACTTAAATAAATAAATAAAAAAAAAATAATAAAAAAAGAGCATTCAGGTCTGTATGTCATGTACTGTGTTTGGTATTCCAGAAGCCCATCCTGATTTCAGGTGCCACAGCTGCTTCCTCAGGGATTGCACTGCCATTTCGCTCTGCCTGACTTTCTCCCACTGTACCATGAGGTTTGTCAGCAGATCTCCGGCGCCCAGGCTCCCTCGGTTGGCACCAGGGAAGCCGGGCGCCTTTTCCTTTCTCCTGGGGAAGCTTGTGGTGTAATGAGTGAACTTCAGGAGCTTAGAAACTGAACGTGGTAGAGAAATCCTCAAGGGAAGAGCTACAATCATAGACATTCTGTCAGCCATCGGGAGCCCAGGAACGTAGTTCTCTTCTTAGCAAAATCTTTTCCGAGTCCGTCTGATCTGGCTGGGGGTGGGAGACGGGGCATCTGAGTTGCTTAGCAGGTAAAATTTACCCCGTTTTGAGTAAATTTCTTTGTAACTTTAATTTTCCC